AAGGCAGGAGGTGGGAGCCAGGGCTGGTCTTATTGTCACAGCATCATGGCTAAGGTGGAGGGGCAGCTTAAGTTCCCCAGACCTTGGTTCCTCCTACAACCAGATCGATGTCGGGAAGTGTGGATGCCAGGGCACCTGTCCAGCCCACCTACCCAGCCACCTCCCTGGAGGTCTGGATCAAGCCCTTGGACACTGATGGGGTTCTGCTCCCAACAGCCCTACACCATCCGATTTATATCCCCACACACTGTACTGCCTGGTACCCCTGGATGCCTAGCTGTGCTTCTGGCAACTTCCTGTCCTCAAAATTGAGCTCGAGCTTATGTTGCCCCTTGATTCNTGATGTTCCAACTACATAGTTTTTGTTGCAAAAACTCCTATATATTCTGGCTTCCCCTTACCCTTTACAGAGCAGTCTCAGAATTATTTGAAAATGCTGTGCCCCAGGCCTAAGTCCTCAGTTTTGCCTCCCAGATAAAACATAACTCACCCCTTTCAGGCTGTGTGTGTTTTTTTTTCAGTCAGCACGCACATGAAATGCTTATTAAACGTTTTCTGACTGACTCCATTTTTTCTCTAGGCCTCTTCAAGGGCCGCCATGGCATTCATTTACTTAACCATTTGTTATCTTTCCATCCACCCATCTTATGACAAACATCTGTGAGGGAAAGAATGATTCCCTCCGTCCCCATCTCACAAACTGGGAAGAGATTTTTTTACCCTACAAACTCAGTCCCGGGAGTATGGAATAGGTATATATATATATATATATTTTTTTTTCTCTTTAAATTTTTTTTAATTGAAGTAAAACTAGTCTACAATGTTATGTAAGCTACAGGTGTACAAAATAGCAATTCACATTTTAAAGGCTATACTCCATTTATAGTTATTATAAAATATTGCCTGTATTCCCTGTGATGTACAGTATATTCTGCAGCTTACTTATACCTAATAGTTTGTACCTTCTCATCCCCTACCCCATGTTGCCCGTCCCCGTTCCGTCATCCCACCAGTAATCACTAGTTGGAACAGGTATATTTTAAAGGCCCGGGAAGGGATGACAAAGCCAGGCCCAGATGCTCTGCATACAATGTTGGGTGCTGACTTCTTAAATGGAGAAGTGGGCTTGCAGATTATAGAGCAGGGAAAGAAATGCTTCCATTCTCCCCTGTAGGTTTAAGACTCTACTGCCCCTAAGAACAGAGATTAGTCCTTGTCAAACATCAGGGAAAGAGGCAGGGAACAGCCTTTAAAAGAATGACACAGCCACTGCGGATATGCCAAAAGCTCATTAGATGTCCAAGATGGCAGGAGATCTGACCTTCAGGAGACCTTGAGCCTCATTATATGCTCGTTATAGTATATCAGCATATGCTAAATGACACACCCACAGGCGCCATGACGGTTCAGAGGCCCACCATAAAAGGCCCAAAGTGGCCAGTGGCCCAATTCTTGAAATCTCTGTCCCTGCTCCAAAATAGTAGGAATAATCCTCCCACTGATAGGCTCAAATACTGAGCCTATAAAGACTAAACACGTCTATTTTGGGGCCTCTGGCCTTCTGAGATGGCCCCCACGCTGTCTCTGGAGCGTGTTTCTCCCAGGTGCTCTCTCACGTTCCAAGACCACCCCGTGTCCTGGGGCTGCGCTCAGCTGTCAAAAGGGGTCACATTCTGCCAATGGAATGTGTCACCTCTCCAAACAAATTCACCTCTTACCTATCACTTTGTCTCTCATGAAGTTCTTTCTGTGAGGAGATACAAAGCACCTGAGCTTCATTAAGTCCCAAGACCAGGTGCCTAATCTCAATTAAAACATGGCGAGCTCTAGGGGTTTCCCTGATGGCGGTTAAGACTCTGCGGTCCCAATGCAGGGGGCCTGAGTTTTGCCGCGACTAAGATCTTGTGTGCCACAGCTAAACAACCCGAGTGCCAAGCAAGATTCCACCAAACACCCCTCACAGAGAAAGAAAAAAAAAAAAAAGACAGTGGGTTTGAATCCCAATCTGGGTTCTCTCTGGGTTCCAATTCTGGCTGGTGGGTTCGAGTCCCAATCTGAATTGTGGGGTTTCACCTGCAAGGTGCGTGGGTCTTCACAAATATGGTTTGGGTTCTTGAAGGATTAAAAAATGTTAACTTTAACTTCGATTACCCTGAGACTCTGAAAAGGGGGACTGGCTTGGGAATGGTGGCCAGAGACTACCAGGGGCCATTACTGACAGATTTCGATAGATTCGGACTTGAGAAATTAATGATGGATGACCTGATGGGGGCAGGGGTAGGCACTCCAGCAGCAGGGCAGCTTTCCAAGGCGTGGTGAGGGATTGCGAGCTCGGGGCTGGAGAGAGACACGCCTCCTCAAACGCCAGCATAAGGCCGGACGCCAGGGCAGGGTGGGTGAGATTAACAGCAACGCCCTGTGAGAGGCTACACCCTGCTCGGCTGGATAAAGAAAAGGCTGGTAGTACTCCATGAGTTTGAGTAGACTCCGGGAGTTGGTGATGGACAGGAAAGCCTGGCGTGCTGCAGTCCATGGGGTCGCAAAGAGTCGGACACGACTGAGCGACTGAAGGGAACTGAACTGAACAGTACTCACTCTAAAGCTTATCTCCTCCCGCGTCGTGGCTTTCTCCACCGCCTTGCCTCTCCGATCTCCCGCACACCCGCGAGGCCGCAATTGTAGATCGCAGCGAGCATGCGGCGCGTAGGGACGGAGACCCACCGTTCCGCCCCCTCCTGGTCCCGGGAGGCCCTCGCACCTGTAGCTACTTCAGAGGAGAGGCGGCCCCTTGCCTCTAATCAGAGACATAGACGCCACAACCCGGCTGTTTCTCAAATACACCAGAGAGGGTGGACCCCTGCTCAAAGGCAAAGCTGAGCTTAGGGTGACCCGCAGCGGGGCAGCTGCTTTGGGCTCTGGGGACGCGCAGTGGGTTAGACACACACAGGTCGGGCTGGGGATGCTCAGCCCCGGTTGAGTCAGTCCTGAAGGTGCATGGCTCGTGGCATGGGTACGGGGGTTGCCTTCCGAGAGGGAAGGAGCTACCTGAGGGCTTCTGGAGCACGTTTCAGCTGGGCTTGAAGAAGCGTTGAGTGCAAAGGCCCGCAAGGTGTGAAAGGCTGGGGTATCTCCCGGTGGGGCACTTTCCCCTGCAGCTGACTTTAGTGTTGTGGGGAAGAGGGAGGGGACGTCGCCAAGGAGGACACGATACACTGATGTGCTGGCTCTGGGACGTCGCCAAGGAGGACACGATACACTGATGTGCTGGCTCTGCTGGCTGGAGGTGGTAGGTCTCCTTGAGCAAGGGCATCTGAGGGTCAGGCTGAATAGCTTATGGTGTCTATAGTGCAAAGGGTAGTTGTTGGCAGTAGTTCTCAAAGCCTGAAGGTTCTCATCCGCATCACCTGGGAATACTTAGAAATGCACATAATGGGGCCCCATGCAGACCCAACCAAACCAGTCCATCCTAAAGGAAATCAGTTCTGAATATTCACTGGATGGACTGATGCTAAAGTTGAAACTTCAATACTTTGGCTACCTGATGCGAAGAGCTGACTCATTGGAAAAGACCCTGATGTTGGGAAAAATTGAGGGCGGGTGGAGAAAAGGACGACAGAGGATGAGATGGTTGGATGGCATCACCGACCCAATAGATATGAGTTTGAGTAAGCTCTGGGAGTTGGTGATGGACAGGGAGGCCTGGTGTGCTATGGTCCATGGGGGTCACAAAGAATCAGACATGACTGAGCGACTGAACCGAACTGATGCAGACCCACTGATTCAGAAATTCTGGGGGTGGGGCCCAGCAATCTATGGTTTGAGAAACACCAGCTGAGTCTGATATAAGCCAGAGTTTGAGAACTACTGGTGCAGTGGAAAGAGTACTAGACTTTGGAAGGAAGGTGGGGAGGGGCCTGGGGAGGGAGGTGTGAGTGGGGAAAGTTGCAGTCTGCCAGGTGCTATTGTTCAGAGGGCAGCGAGCCACATTACATACCTGCTCCTTTAAGGTGATCTGAGGAGGAACTAAGAAAGGTATGGGCCACCTTGTTACAGACAGAAGACTGAAGCTTAGAATTTAAATTACTCACCTAAGATCAGCCTCCGTCCTGGCACCACGGAAGAATGACAGCCTGGACATCGGTGCCTGGTCAGCCTGTGGCTGCCTGGCTGGAGGGGAGAGGCCTGAAGCTTGAAGCTCCTTCCCCGGGGGTCCTGGTGGTGAGCCAGACCCGAGGCTAATGGGAAGCAGTGAGCCTTCTGTTCTCACTCTTGTCCTCAATTATTTGAATTTTCATAAGGTTCACCATTCACACTAGGGAGCTGGGCTTAGCAAATGTATTTTCCTAAGTGACCAGCTGTCATCCCTGACTTCTAGACCTGAGGTTAAATGTGAGGTTCCTTGAGAAAGGCAGGGTGAAAAATTACCTGTATGCTGTGACTACACCTACCCTAGATTTTTTTTTTCCAGAAAAAAAAAAGATACATTAATATCATAGAGCAAAAAAACAAAAACAAATCCAAAACAATGCTAAAGGAATTTTTCTTTTTTCTCCAAGTTGTATTATGTGGCTGTAATAATTTGTATGATGAATATACATTTTTGAAAGTGCAACTAAAGACACCCCATGTGGAACGCAGTGACGTGACCCAGTGAACAAGTGGCAGAGCGCAGGCTGTTTCCTTAGGGCAGCGTGGGTCTGCCCGGCCACTTGGAGTCTGTCCTCAAGGACAGTAAGAAGAGCTGCGATATGGCCCAGAGGAACATCGGGGCATAGCTGGTGTCAGAGGGGCTTTGACACATGTGAGGTTAAGCCCCAGGTCTTTATGTCCTTTGGAAATGCCTCTCTATGACTGGCGCCACCTGGAGGGCTTAAGGGGGACTTTGGGGCCAAGGACCAGAGCTTTGGTGGTCCTCCTGAGAACAGGCGCTTCTTGTAGTGCAAACTCAGAGCACTGGCTCAGGCAGCCACTGTTCTCCAAACAAAAGGCCACTAGACACCTTTAAACACAAAATATTCTTTTATTTGTCAACGAAGGCTACACGGGATCACTTCTGGTTTTGTTTTTATGCCTTTTTTCCCCCCCTTTTCTAGAAGGTATCTACATCTGCATTTATTTACAGCCTTGTTGGTATTTACACAGTCAAGAATACAGTGTTAGAAACACAAAAGTGTTGAGAAAAAAACTTCTCAAAATTAGTTCCAGACTTCAGGAAAATTATTTCCACATGGTAAGGCCAGAGTCTCCAGTGTTGGTCGTCCAGAGGCAGCTTGGGAGAGTCCCGTTGCCAAAGCTGCGGGTTCAGAAGTCTTGAAGAACATCAGGCGGGTCTAGAAAAGTGGGATTCTGGTGTTGGGTGAATCCAGGGCTGCCGGGCACCACCAGACATCTGTGACTCAGCTTCTGTCAGGCTAGCGGAGCCTGCTGGAGCATTTGTTCTCCACTGGCAGTTTGCCCTCAAAATCAAACACATGTTCCTGGGGACCAAGAGGTCACCCGGTATCATGCCTTTGGCATTCCAGAGAGGGTAAGAAACCCAACATCGGCCCGCTGTCTGGGGCGGTCGTGTACACAAGGCTGGTTTTTTGAGAATGTAAAGTTTGGAGAGGATCAAGTTTCTATCACCTGAGCAATGAGTCTTTAAAAGGAGTTTGTTGTTTTTCGAAGGTTAAATGAAAGGGCCTTGAACTACAGAGTTCTTTAATTTCCTCCTGTCCAATAAAATACAGACAAGTATATAAACCTATCTGGGAATTATGAACCTTCAATAGAGGGCTTTTAGTCCTAAATGAGGATCCCAAGGGGAAAAAAGAGACTGGGTTCTTTCTGGGAACCCTCAGGAGGCGGGCCCTAGCTTGGGACCGGAAGCCACGGCTGGGGCTTTAGTGGCCACTGTGAGGGGTAGAGGATAGATCTGACTTTGAGCACCGGGGGAACAAACCCCAAAACCCGAGACCCTGCTGAGGCCTGGCTGACTCCTTCCTCCTGGGCACCGAACTCAGTATCATGGTCCTCACCACGTGGCAATTGCAGACACAGGCTGCCAATGTAAAACTATTCTAAGATTTCACGTGGAAATCTTGTCTTTGCATATTGGAAACCCTTGCCATTGTTAAAGGTGGTACTTAAAAGTCATAGCTAAAAAGGTTATTATTTTAAAAAAAAACAAATTTGATTCCTTGTTGTGCTAAGTCGCTTCAGTCGTGTCCGACTCTTTACGAGTCTATGGACTGTAGCCCGCCAGGCTCCTATGTCCATGGGAAGGATTCTCCAGGCAATACTGAAGTGGGTTGCCATGCCCTCCTCCAGGGGATCTTCCTGACCTAGGGATTGAACCTGCGTCTCTTATGTCTCCTGTATTGGCAGGCAGGTTCTTTACCACTAGCGTCACCTGGGAAGCCCCCTGCTATGTGTCTATGGAAACACTGCCCTGTTTTATTCACCTTCCTTGTCTACATCACCTTCTGCTCCCAGCCCCACCTCATGCTAATTCATTAGAATCATACCCTCTGGTCATTTTCAACTTTTGGTCAGTTTCTTGGAAATGGTTTCAAATCTTCCATCCCTAGGTAGAAATCAGGTACTGGTCTATTCCGTGGTTTACTTCTCAGCAAACAGTTCTGAGTGGCAAGCATCAGGGGTCATTTCCCGTGGAGTTTCTTTGCCTTCTTCCTGTTGTCATAGCTCCCCCCCTCCCCTCCAGTGATGTCTGTCTGGTGGGTGGGTGAAAAGGAAATCTCATCCTATAAAACCAAAGTTGGGGAATCACTGAAGTCCTATTTAAGGTGATGATAGACAGGCTGATGGCAGCTGTGGAGGACATAGGAGAAAGTAGGAGCTCTTCTAAAGAAGCTTCCACAAACAGCTCTTCTGCCTTCTTGGGACAGAAGCTGTCATTCTGCAGAATAGTGGACAGGGGCCATGAGGGCGGGCTGTCACTTGAGGGAAGGGACACATTTTGGTTGGTTAATGTCAAAAGGGCAGGTGCCATCAAAGATGGGATTTGATGCCTGGAGGCTGTTAGGCTGGCACGGGGAACGCTGGCTTATGCCTTCGCTGTTGCTGTGACACTGGGACTGCTGGTCCCGGTGGGAAGACAGACAGGAGAGTCACTGCGAATGCAAACCAACTCACAAGGGCCAAGGCCAGAAGCACCATCTCCAATAGCAACAGCACAAGGTGAAACTGAGGTGCATGAGGCTGCCTGCCCCACACTTGAGACCCTTTCTCTAAAGGCTGGGGGTGCTTCCATTTCCTCCCATACAGAAGCTAGGCCTCCGTGATGGTATGTAGCCCAGGAAGAAAATAAAACATCATCCATTTAAAGAAAAGTAATGCTCAGTCATTTTCTGTGACTTTGATCTTTAAGAGTCACTGTCACTTTGGGGTTGGAGAGTCAGAGGGTTGGGGAGGTGTGGGGAGATGGTTCATTTGGCTCTGACCTCCAAGCAGACGTTTCCAGCAGGTCTGGACTGATGTCAGGAGGTCAGGGTGGAGCTGATCGTCTAGGCCAATGTGCAGGGCCCCACTGCTCAAGGACCCCTTCCATCAAGATGACATTTGAGAGGCATGTCTACTCTGGATTTAAAAACAAAACAAAACGTGTTCTTCAGGCCCAACTATCTTCCATCCTGTTCAAGAAGGATCCCGCCAGATGGGGGCCACCACCAGCCCCTGCCTTGCACGGAGGGCCCGGAAGCCCTGCCGTCTGACTCGGCTGAGCTCTGGACACAGTGGACAAATAGGCCCAAGGAGCACTGTCACGGCAGTGTCACTTTTTTTTTTTTTTGGAAACAGGAAGAGCACTTAGCGAAACGCATCCTTTCATCCCAGTGGGATGACGTCAGGCGAGACCTCCTCTCCCGAGCAGCTTTGGGTGCCTCCCTCCGCCAGGCAGGCCCCCGGCCCGCGTGCTGCGCCGATTCCCACGCAGCAAGAGACTGTCTCGGTTTCGTTCACTGCTGGAATATTCTGAAGACTCTGTGAGTAAGGCTATAAAGGTGCCGTGAGCTTGTCAGTCCAACAAGGTTTCCACGGGGAAAGAGCTCAGACTCAAAATTCATTTTCCACACTTAATATAAAATGTAACCCATAGAAGTCCCATTTTCTAAGAAGCCCAGCTTGAAAGGGAACATTTGGCTTCCCCTCCTGGTCTCCCAGAGCCTCCTGTGAGAGGTAATGACGATGGTAATTGGGCAGATGAGACAAGAGAAAGGCGCCCCGGGCTCTCCCCTCTCTTCAGTGCTCCCCTCCAGCCTGGTGGGGGCTGCCTCTCCTGGACAAGCCTTGCAGGTGTGGGCTGGCCACAAGCCTCTACCCACTGTCCTCAGGCGTGGGCCTTCACAGGGGCAACTGTAGCCTGGCTTCCTGCATCTGCGGGCACTGCCCCCAGTCCTGGAGGGGCAGCTTGATGCTGCCAGGCCACACCGAGTTCTCTCTCCTCTCCTCCTTCCTCCTTCATCTTGCTTTAAAACCCTGGTTGGGCTCCTCTAGAGGGGAGAAGCCATCATCTGTTTTAGAAGAATTTCACAGAAGAAATTTCCTGCATCCCAAGCTCTGCAGTTAGCCCGACATGAGGGAAGCAGAGGAGCCTTCCGGAGCTGGTTAGAAGCATGCTTGGTTCACGCCTTCCTCTCTTTGGCTGACTTTTCCTTAAACCTCTTTTCTGGAACCGAAGGCCACCAGGCACCTCTCTCCACACTCCCAGTTCTCAGTGGTGGCAGCTGAGCGGTGGAGGCAAGATGCCCAGAGTCCTGGGAGAGAGGGCCTCAGCTCGCAAGGCAGGCTGGTACCCTTGCCACCAACGCCATCCTTTTGCGGTGGGTGACCTTCTCTTCCGGGCGTGGAGCCCACACGGAGGGCCGGCTGTGCAGTGCTGGTTCTCACATCTGGCTTGGGGAGAGAAGAGGAGCTGAATAAGGAACATCACGGGAGGACTGCCCAGCCACAGACGTCCTGGGTGCCTCTGCCTCTTAGCCCCCAGGACGAGGTTGCCAACTGGGAAAAAGACCCGGGAGACACGTGCTCCATCCCAGCAGGGGGGTGGCAACTGACAACTACACAGGGTTTGCAAAAGGGGTTGGGGGTTTCACTTAGCATCAAAATATAAAGCTTGGACAGGAGTTTGGGGCAGCTTGAAAAAGGTGCTATGAGATCATGAAATTCCCCAGAGCAAGATGAAACCATCCGTGGTCCTCCGGGGGCATGGAACACAGTGTTAAAAAGCACCCCCACCTGTCTGCGGGAGCTTGGCCAAAGATCTTCGGGTCCTGCAGACCCTCTTTCCAGGCCCTCCGGAAATTTGCTACTGGCCCATGACTCTCCGCACCCTTCACTCCTGCCCGACCCCCGTGGAAAATAGCCTTGCACGTGGGACAAGTTAGCACAGACACTCGTGTCTCACATCACACTGGGGACCTGGGGACAGACGAGGACACACCCCAGGGGCTGCATCTCAGCAAAGAGAAACGTGCCCCAAACAACAAGGAAAACTCCTCAAGGAAAAGGGAACAAAAGACAGTCAAGTTTTCATTGTGATCACACTACAGAAAAAAAAAATACCCTCTGTTCTTTGCAAAAAATGTGTGAAGGCCAAATCTGTGTTTTTCTTTTCTTAAAAAAAAGGATGTTGCATGAGTTACAATGCAACCAAGTATCTTTTTTTTTCTTTTTTTTTTTGCACTTGTTAAAAAAAGGATTTTTTTTTTCTCTCTTTTAAGTACAACACAGTCATGTACGCGGCCACAAAAGAGTAGCTGTCTTTGGCAAGAAGTCCCGGCCGTGGTCCTCTCTGTCACCTCCGGCCCATCTCACTCTGTCTCATGAAGTGGATGTTGTTGGCGCTGTCTGACAGTTCCGGGTACTGCTCGACCGAGATCACGAAGAAGCCATCGTAGCCTTGGACCCGCCCCGTGTTCAGCACCTGCTGCCTCTCGCCCTCGGTCCAGGCCCGCAGGCCCTCCTCCCCTTCCCGAAGCCGCTGCTGCTCGCGGGCCCAGGCCTGGCGCACGGCTCTCTGCCGGGCCAGCTCCAGCACCCGCGCCTTCTCCTCGTCCAGAGTGGCCCCGTAGCGGGTATTCAAGCACAGCGCCCCATACTGGAGCTGGATGTCTGTGTAGCGTCTAGTCCTGCCGTTAAGCATCGTGTTCATCTGGGAAACGGTGACGTTGACCCCGTTCTCCAGGGTTCGCCGCCCACCGCTGAGGCCCAGGATGGCCAGGTCGCCTTCTGAAGGCCCCGGTTTCACGAAGTAGTGGGTGTCCACCCCATCGATGGTAAAGTGCAGGTTCTCCAGGTAGTGGGCATTGTTCAAGATGGCAGCAACCCTCCGCCCGTCCTCGTTGGCCACGCTGATGATGTCTGTGGCCACGCGGCCATCCTTCAAGGCGAACTTGACCCCCTTGCCGAACACGGAGCCGCTGGATGCAAACTTCTTTGTCTCTGGGGCCTGCTGGCAGCTGGTGACTGTGGAGCCATAAAGCTGGTCAAAGCGTTCCAGGGTGACGAAGGCCTTGAGCTGCTTCTGCACTTCACATTGCACCCCGAGGATAGACTGATGTGGGAAGGAGAAAGAGAGTGTGAAATAAAGTGGGGAAACCACCAGTCAGCCTGCATGACTAAGTCTAACTTATACAAATACACTAACCTGTAGCATCTAGCTCTACTGCTGACCACTAGGACACCCAGCCCTTGTTCTAGTAGCGTCTAGTCCTGCCGTTAAGCATCGTGTTGATCTGGGAAACAGTGACGTTGACCCTGTTATCCAGGGTTTGCCGTAAAAACACCCATGTATTTAACCCTTCCTTCCACTCAGAGGCTGTTCAGGGTGCATCTACTCAGGGCTCAGTTGCCTTCTCAGCACCGGGGTCACAACAATGAATCAGACATCATCCCTGTCCTTGAAGAATTCCTTGTTTCATGGGGAAAGACAAATGTACAATGAATAACTACAATCAAATGTGAGGACTGGTGGCCTAAGAGAAGTGACAGTAATAGCTATAGCCAATATGTCTTGGTCTTGGAGCTGAATAGTTCACATTCATTATCTTGTTGGATCCTCACAATAACTTCATACAGTAGGGGTTTTATTATTCTGGTTTTACATCTGAGAAACCAAGACTCAAAGAGGTTGAGACTGGCCCACGGCCATACAGTAGTAGGTATTCAAGCCAACATTCGAACCCAGGTCTTTCTGATTCTAGAGGCTCAGTTCAAGGGCTACTGGAGTCGGGAGGAGCAAACACCACTCAGGATATGTCGGCCTGGAGGCAGAGAGGCGAGGCGGAGAAGGTGAAGTTCAAGGATAGGCTCACACCTGAGTTGGGACTTGGAGGATGAGGGGGTGATGTCAGGTGCAGCCATGATGAGGATGTACTCTTGTCTAGAGGCTTAGTAAGATGGAAAGCAGTGGTTTACATGAACCCTTTTGTGTGCGTGCTAAGTCGCTTCAGTCCTGTGCAACTGTTTGTGACCCTGTGGATTGTAGCCTGCCAGACTCCTCTGTCCATGGGATTCTCCAGGCAAGAATACTGGGGTGGGTTGCCATGCCCTCCTCCAGGGGCTCTTCCTGACCCAGGGATCAAACCCTCATCTCTTACATCTCCTGCATTGGCAGGTAGGTTCTTTACCACTAATGCCACCCGGGAAGTCCATGAATCCTCTTAGCCTGCTTTATTGCTCTCTGCCACATTTAGAAATGATTTTCAAGGATGACCTCTGTCTCTACAAAGCTTCCTGGAGGCTCCTTAAGTGCCCCTGCTCTTGGCTGCTTTAGGGAACAGGTTGGGCCTGTCTCCTTGGCATACCTGTCCCTCCCGTGGCTCAGGAAGCTATGGGAAGCCGCTCTCAGGCAGGCTGCAGGGCTTTATCAGCAACTCAGGCAAACGGCTGCAGAAACAGGCCCATCGGGTTCTCACTGAAATTAAGTCCTCTTTATAATTAATAGAACCCTGTCTGTGAACAATTATTTCCTAGAGTTTCACGAAAGCCAGAGTGCTCAACAACAAAGATCTCCGATGCTTGCCAAGGGCAGAAATCAATAATTCATTGACAGGAGAGGCAGGCAAAGGGGCCGTCAGGGACTGTGGCTCTGGGAGTGGGTGGCGGAGGGAGCCTGGAGTTGGGGGCGCCGCTGAGAGGCTGGAAGCAGCCCCGGGAAGACGGTGCCGTGGGCAGCTGGGGGGACCTGGAGGGGAGGGATGGTGGGGCTGGAGAGGGCAGGGGCAGGGCGAAGGCCACAGAGAGACAGAAGCTTTGCGACCAGATGGACTTGGGCTCTCATTGCCTTCTGCTACTTTGCAGCTGATCTTGGACTAGCTTCCTTTCTCAACTCTGGTCTCCTCTGTAAAGTGGGGGGAAAAGGCTGAACTCACAGAATTGTTTACTTCTTTCAACCATTTGGTCATTCAACAAAAAGTGTTCCGGGCACCTGAGAAATGTGCAAGGTGGTAGGCTGGGTACCAAATAAGACCCACTACTTGCCCCCTTGGGGTTCAGGGTCTAGTGGAGATACAGGAAAGAAAGTAAGAATGAAAATATAGTGTGGTGGGGAAGCTGTAGGTGCCATCAGATCACAGGGGTCCAGCATCATGTTCTGCAGAGTCTAGGGGAAGGAAACAGCCAGGCTGAGACCTCATGGAATCTGGCCAGAGTAAGAGATGTGGATGCATCAGTTTCTGATTGTCAGCCGTATGCCTTCTGCAACCTAGACTTCCTCCTCAGTCTCTTGACCCCCTGGACAGGGATCCCCTGGAAGGCCCAGTCTCTGCCTGATTCATTCCTGCCTTCACTGGGCTCCTGCAGCATGGGGTCTGGAAGAGCCGGCTCCTTGTACAGATCTTATGAATGAGGGGGACAGTGGGAAGAAACGAGCAAATGGGTGCAGGAAGTGAGGGGTGGGGTGAAACTGCTCTTATGGATCTTTATAGCCATAAAATTCTATGAGTCTTTGTGTCATAAATGGAAGATGGAGAAAGCAACATCCTTTTGAGCACCTACAGACAGATCTGAGTTTGAATCCCACTCTACTCCATTTTGCTGGGTGGCATTTGAAAGCCTCAGGCATTAAATCTCTAAAATGACAACAATGATACAGGGGGATATTTTTGTGTTAATTTATAAAGAACACCTCACACAAGGCATGTTGAGGGTGCTCAGGAAATATCACATTTGTACTTAGAACGCACCTTTCCTCGTATTTTTGTTCTGGGTTGGGGCAAAGGCTCACTGTGCGGAACTCCAAACTCAGTGTAATATACAAAGCTCCTTAATTTGGCTCATGAGGATCTGTGCGCCATTATGACTGTGTCCACAGTGATCTGCCAGGGTCACTGAGTTATCTGCTCAACAGTTTCTGGTAAGCACTGCAAAGGCACCACGCTGGTTTCTATTATTGGCCTAAGCTTTTCTGAAAAGCTGGTGGGACCCATTCCTGGAATGTGAGCCACGTGTGTGAATTACCTTGCTGTTGTCCCACTCCTGAGTTTTCATCTGTGTGTGGACGAGCTCGTAGGATGGTTCCACAGCATCCATGTCCGGCTTGGGATAGCCGGGGATCACGTTGTGAAGCTGGAATCCGAAGGTGAGGAGCCAGCTGTTGACATCTGGGAGGGAGAGAAGAAGCAGAAACATTCCTGTGGAGTCAGCGGACCACAGATGTGACACATCCCGAGAAGGCAGCCTAGAGGAAGGCTGCTGGGGTGGGGTGAGGACGTGGTGGGTGGCTGGTGGGAGAGTCAACAAGCACGCCGGAAACCGTTTCATAGTATGGAAGCCGAGCGTGCTCTTGGGGCCCAGTGGTCCCTCCTGTGGATGTATCTGAGAGTGATGTCATGCATGTAGAACCTAGGCTTCCCAACTCCTCTTTCTACTGTCACTTGACCCCGAGGACCTTCAGCTTCACCACCAGGGGCAGCTGTTGATGGATGAAGACCCCTCTCATCCACTTAAATGTCAATAGGAGACACAGAGGACAACCACACCAAAAGGAAAGACTTTAATGAATGACTTTCAAAGAGAAAATTCACTTAAGAAATAAACTCTTTAACCCTTTTCCAATCCTTTCTGCAGAGATTAGAATCTCAGGGCCAAAGTGCATTGGCCTGGGCTAAGTTGCTTCAGTCGCATCCGACTCCTGGCGACTCTATGGACTACAGCCTGCCAGGCTCCTCTGTCCCTGGGATTCTGCAGACAAGAATACTGGAGTTGGTAGCCATTTCCTCCTCCAGGGGATCCTCCTGACCCTGGGATCAAACCTGTGTCTTCTGTGGCTCCTGCGTTGCAGGAAGATTCTTTACCGCTGAGTCACCGGGGAAGACCATGGAGATGGCCTGACCACAGATCAAAGAGTTTTCCCCCCCCCCGATCCTGCCTTTTATTTACTCTGACAGCCCAAGGAGGTCACCTAACCTCCCTGTGCCTTCATTGCCAGTCTCTATATTGGGTTTGATGATCGAGCCCCATAGGCATTGGATTTATTGGTTTTTATAATACTCCTGGGGGGTTACTAATTAGAAAGTACTCAGTATAGGGCCTGGCGGGATAGTGTCATGAGCATTTGGCTCACTGAAGAATGGAATCAGGAAGTCAAGACTTCAGAGGGGAAAAAAAAAGACTTCAGGAAAAAAAAGAGGGTGTGCCATCAGTTACATGGCCCTCTGTGACTAAGGGTCTTTTCTGGGCCCAGCACTGGTGTCACAGACCCTCAGCTTGCACACTCAGGACCCTGGAGGGGAGATGAGACACACGGCATGGATAACTTTGACACGAGAAAAGGGCTGAGGGGAGGGCAGAGGTCTTTTGGTCATACAGGCTGACAAATCTTCATGAAGAAGGTAGCCTTTAAGTCAGACACTGAAAGTTGCGTAAATTTTGTCAGACTTCAGTGGAGATGAGGGGGGCACTTCAGGCAAAAGCTGTTGTGTAAGGCAAGGCCTGGAGTGGGAAGGTGAGCATTGGGAACTCTCAGGTAACCAGAGAGCAGTTCAGCAGGGCAGAGAGAGAATCAGAAAGGAAAACGGTGGCTGGAGCAGGAAGAGGCTGAGGTGGCAGGTGGGAGGTGATTTGGGGTCTGCAGGAGACAGACAGGGATGGTAAAGAGTGTGCCTGCAATGTGGGAGACCCAGGCTTGACCCTCGGGTAGGGAAGATCCCCTGGAGAAGGGCATGGCAACCCACTCCAGTATTCTTGCCTGGAGAATCCCCAGGGACAGAGGGGCCTGGCAGGCCACAATTCATGTGGTCTCAAAGAGTCGGACATACTGAGTGGATAACACACACACACACACACACACGAGACAGACAGACAGCCTGTGTCCCAGCATGGCTCAGCCTTCCTTGGGAAGGGGCAGCCGAAGTACCAAGGTAGTTGGTGACCAGAGACTTGAATCTGAAGTCAGGAGAAGGCAGGATTCAGAATTTAGTCTCAGAGCCAGCAACTCTGGGCAGTGGGCATTCAGGCCTGCTTTTGGCTTCTTC